TCTCTTGCTTAGAGCAAGGTACAGGCCTCTAATGATTCTCCTAATACAGCCAACCCCAAGGGTAATACATTGGCCAAAATAATGCCGCTTTTTTGCTTGGAGCAAAGAACATGCCTCTAAATGATTCTCTTAAAAATCCCAGAAATGTTCCAAATTGGCAACAACCAAGAATAAGGGCTCCAATTAAATAGGTAATTTAGGACAATGCTAACAAAGAAACAATATAAAACTACATTTATACAATCACAAACCGTTCATAGAACAAACTAGAATTAATCTATGAAATCTTAGAAGAACTCCAACAAGTGTAAAAAAGAATAATAATAATAATAAAAATACTTGGCAAACTTTTCATCACTCTGCTGCAGAAGGGTTTTCAGCTCCAGTTCCTTCAGCAATCTCTCCACTTGGCTTTTCTATAGCATCTGGGCATGGATAAGAGATGTTCTTCCTCAATTCAGACTCCACTAAGACATTAGCAGCTTGAAGTGCAGACGTCCATTTGTCTTCAAATAGTATATTCTCCAACTTGGCGAACTACACTTCATAGATGACGGTGTCTTCATTACATCCCTCCTCCTTGGCAGCCTTGACTACATCCAAAACACTTGCCTTTGTTTCTCTTTCTTCTTCTTCAGAGCAGTAATCTCCTGTGACGAAGACTCCAGCATAGAATCCATCATCTAAAGCTTCTTCTCATCCTCAGCTGCCTTTCTTTCAAATGCTACTAGCCGAAGCTTTAGCTCCTTTACTCTTTCATTTTGCTTATCCCTAGAGGTCTTGAGCTTATTGGCTATCTTAATCATTTTATCGTGGCGAGCCATATCCTCAGATTGTAAGGCTTGTAAGATATAAGGAAAGAGGAAATCCACAAATACCAAAGAACAAAAGAATGATGACAAAATTATTTACCACTAGGGAGAAGTGTAAGGCCTGCAAGAAGACAGCCACATCACATTGTTCGGCCAGCCGAGCAGCATCCGCAGGAAGGATAGAGCTGCACATAATGGTCGATGCAACTTCAGCACTGCCCATAGTTATATCAGCGTTTGTTATCGAGCGATTCTTTAGGGCATGCATGAAGATAATAGGCAAACCTACGGTCACCGTTTTCGAAGCGGAGGTTGGGAAATAGGCAGTAACAACGACAACAACAAAAGGATTTAATCGGATCTACTTATGAACCTCCATCGCTTAGTTAGAAGGATGCTTGCTCGACCTCTGACTCAACGGATAAAGAGGAGCATTTTCAGTAGAGGCCGTGGCATAAGAGGACAGGGAATCATCTACTACCACGATCGGTGATCGTGGAGGCTGATAAGATGCAATAGAATAAAAAATAGCCTAGAGGATAAGGCTGACTCACTATCTCTTTGACGCTTTCTGGTAACAACAATCTCTAAACAATTCTTTTGAGGCATGATATCTGAAATGGTAGCCTTTGAACTAGATCACTCTTCTTAAGGTTGTTCTTCTTTAGGTGCTACTTCCTTGATGCTCTCCTGAAGATGAGGAAGAATGTAAAAATCAAAGTCATCGTCAGCAATAGGGTCTATACCGTCAGTCATGATCACGGTACCACAGTAGGGGACGTAAGAAAGCAACACGTGGGCTGCTCGGCCTTGGCCTTGTTCTGGTGGCCCTTTGTACGATCATGCTTGTTGTAAAAAGGGGGTTTCTTTGATCTTCCCACTCGCTAGGCTAAGAAAAGACCTCAAAAGTTGTAAAAAGTGACAAGAAATCATTAACAATTAGAAATCATAAAAGACGACATCACACGCAACTAGAAAGACAGAGGATAACCTGGTCGGCCAGTGACCTTAGGAATAGGTCAGATCCGATTGGCACCAGGAAGGAATTCCCAATTCCTTTCTACTATGATAAACACATCGTTGACACCCTTGCCAGAGTTAGGAAGCATCTGAACAAGTTGAAGCTTCGCTGATCTGGGCTTGAAGTACAATTTTGACCTTTCTTTGGTGGTAGGGACAAAATTATAGTAATATCTAATTTCAAAAAGGCCTAGATGGATCCCTAAGATATTGTTCAAAGCAACTATGCCCATAATTATTCTAAAAAATTTAGGCGAAAGCTAGGAAGGAGGTACCTCATTGAAATGAAGACCTCCCTGAGGAGAGGATGAAAGGGGAATCGAACTCCCCCCTCAACTATGTTTATCAGAGGGAGAAGAATTTGTTCCTCTGATCCCTCTGTGATGCTATCATTAGAAGTAGAAAGACAGACGACAACATCATTGTGAATTCTATACAAAGTTCTAAACTCCGTAATACTTTCCTCGGATTCAAAGAAACATCTCAAGTGATTCGTGGTGAAAATAAAGAAAAACAAGAGAAGAAGAAGCAAAAAGAAATTCAAAATTGCAAGAAGCAAACGAGAGAACAGTTGACAAAGATTACAGATTGAAACTTCAGGCGAATGATGGAGATGAAGGCGTATAGGGTTCTGAGAAGACGATAAGCAAAGTGGCGAAGGGCAATGGACAACCCCTCAATTAATCTGTCAAAAGCGAAACGATGCATTAAAAGATGAAATGAAATGCGTCATCATTAAATTTAAAACTACAGACAAGACGTGTGTCATTGGTAGAGGCAACGACCTAGATCCGGATTAGATTGGCCATAATATCTTTGTCAATCCGCCATAGAAGATCATTGAAGTGGGGCAATTGTGGAGAGGTAAAAGCATTGGCCCAAAGCTCAAGCTCAACCTAGTAGGACAAATCAAGAAAAAAGCCCAGGTCATCGATAGGTCCATCAGATGAAGAGGCAGTGTCACATGACCAAAGCCTAAGTAAAATCGCTTTCTAGAATGAGATTTGCAGAATGCAAGGCTGCCCTTAGATCCATTCATAATCAACGGTGAGGACCATAATTGTCAGCCATAGGGGCATAGGTCCAGCCTACCCAAACGACACAACCATCTAACGAATTTAATCGAACGGAGGGAGAAATCGGCAAGTTAGCCACTAACGCCTGACATATTTTAAGCAGCACAAAGCAAGATGATCCAATAGTACAGGATCAAAACGACCTAGCCACTTGCTTGACCAAAGTTTGATAACAAGTAGAGCCCTATCGATGTTAATCCAACGACCGAGGCCCAAGAAAATCACATTATAAAAGGAGGAGTAAGGAAAAACAATAGAGGTAACAAAGAAACAAGTCTTTCTATGATAGATCATCATTTTGACTTGACCGTCAGAGGGTCCTCCCGACCATATCTGGTTGAGAGTGATCACTGACGAATTGGTTTCTCTTTGCAGAGTACAGGAATGAGCATTTTATCTCGCTTTCCTTATGAAGAAAATTTCTACCTTCCATAACTTCATTCTTTTTTCCATAGTTTTTATATAAAAACAACTTATAGGTTTTTCTTTTTTTTCTTTTTTTTTCCCTAAAAATAAAAATTCTGGATTTTGAAAAATGGGTTGAGTGTGTGTGTGTGTGTGTGTGTGTGTGAGAGAGAGAGAGAGAGAGAGAGAGAGAGAGAGAGAGAGAGATTGTGGGTTTGTGGGTCTTTATTAGATGAACGAATGCCCTTACCCTTTGATTTTGAGGGGAAGAGGGAGTTAGAGTTTGTTGCAGACTCATCTTCTTCATTTTCTCCATTTTCAAATCCATTGTTGAATTAGTGAAAGAGCAAAGAAGGTGCGTGGAAGGAGGGTTGAGATGGTGTGTGTACAAAGATATGAATTAAGGATATAATTAAAACATTTGGTATGCGGAGTGAAGGTTGATGTGATGTGTGTACAAGTATATAAGTTAAGGGTATGATTAGAATATTTGGTGTGTAGAATGAGAACAATAACTAATAATCAAATTAATAAGTGTACAATGAGAAATGACATTCATACAGATAAATAGGTGTATGGAAACAGAATTTCCCTACTTATTTGTCACTTATCTATCAAAGTGTTATATATCTGTCCATTTGTCTGTTAATATGTTATCGCCTATTTGTTCATGTGTTACCTATCTGTCTACATATCTCTCCATGTGTGATCTTCTATTTGTTCATGCGTCAGACGTAATCTACTTATCTATCCATTCACCATCACCATCACTGTCAGGGATGGTGACTTTTACGTCAAAGTTTTCAACAGTGGTCTGATAGTGATCTGACAGTGGGATAAAATAAATATAAAAAAACTAAAAAATTAATTTATTTTTCTCATCAAATAATTTCATTAAACATATTCTTATCACTAAAAGAGATTAAGGTTGAGGGCAAATAACATAACCACATAGGTAGAGGCCACTACCATGTGAGTTTTTGGGTCCCATGAGCTCATCAAACAATCAAAACTCCTTTAAAAACGTTTATTTATATTGTTAATATTTTTTTTTATTCAATATAGTTTAGTCTCACTAAAAAAACATAAGAGACCCCATCAAATAAGAATCTACACTGATTAGAGACCTTCTGGTTCAAAAGTTTAAATCACTTTGTTTGGTTAACGATTTTTAAAAATAATTTTTAATTTTTTTGTCTTTAATAAACTTTTTAAATATTCTAAGTATTTTTTTTATTTTTTTAAATCTACTTAATAATATATTTAAAAGTAAAATATTTGTAAAAAATTATTTTAAAAATTCACTAAATACAAATATATATATATATACTACATTTAAAAAAAATGTATTTATTATTGATTTTTTGAAAAGATTTTTTATAAATATGTTACTTTTGAAATACATCTAGGTTATGTGCATTAAAAAAAAAAAAATCAAAATATGAAGAAAAAAAACAGTTCTAGACACAACAAATTTAAATTTTTTTTAAAAATTCAAAACCAAACATAATGAATATTGTTTAGGTTATTTTATTTCCTTATAGAATTTGCAAAACTTATTGTGGAGTAATCCCATCTATAAAAAGAATCCGGATCCTCGGTGCCCTTTTTCTGCCGCATAATCCTGTAGCCCCCAAAACGACGTCGTTTTGGGATTTTTTTTGTTTTTTATTTTATTTTTTTTCTTTTCTTCTTCTTCTTTCTTTATTTCTCTCTCTTCTGGGGAAGAAGAGGGGAGAAGAAGGGGGAGCTCAGAGAAAATGAGCTGGACCACCGATGAAATCAGAGACCTTGCGTGACCGATCACCGGGAAGCCATTAATGGTGCTGAAGTTGCAGGAAACGTAGACGGGGACGAAGAAGAAGTCAGCTTCCCATGGGTCGAGCGTCCGTACATCGCTGTTCACTAGAGCTCTGTGTATGGCCACCTCAGAGGCAAAGAGGCTGTTGTATTTCGATGGTAAATCGTACACATACACCTTCATATCCTTGAACAAACCTGCCCAAAACCCAAAAACAAAAAAAGATTAAGAAAAATAAGAAAGAGAAGAGGGTTAACAGAGGATGTGATTGAAGAGGGTAGAGAAATGAATGGACCTTGGTGGGTTTTGGGTTGTTGAAGAGCAGTGTTGTTGAGGGAAAGGTGCCTGCTCTTATTACTTCGTTTCTGCTTTGCAATCAAAAGATTCGAAAACTCTTAAACCCTAGTACCAAAAATGAATAACACGAACTGGGTTTGTTGTAAAGTTGTGATTTCGGTACAGTTAAGATCCTGCAAATGGGAAAAAAAATAAAAAATAAAAAATTCAGGCTTTAGTGGTTTACAGAGGAGAGAGAGAGAGAGAGCAAGCCAAACTGGGTTTGTCCTAAAGTTGTGATTTTTGTGAAGTTAGGATCCTAAAAAATACAAAAAAAATATGAAGAAAAAAAAAAGAAAGGCTCCAGTGGTTTATAGAAGAGAGAGAGAGAGAGTCGATGGAGAGAGGAAAATGTAAAGAGGTTTGTTTGCATTTGGGATTCAAAAAGAAAAAAAATAAAGGGTTGAAAAAGAAAAATAAAAAAGCCAGAGAATTGATTGAGCTATGGATAGAGGTGGAAATTGGAATGGTGATCTCCCTATGTGAATGGACCTCATTTTTCCCCTTCTATGGAGGTTGTTGAGATGGGGCTTTCGTTTTTGGTCTGAAAGAAGAAGTAGAAATCAAGAAACAGATATTGAAGATGATGAGATGAGGTTGTTGAGATGATGATATTGAAGATTGGGCTTTCGTTTTTGGTCTATTGACCTCCGCCATTTCTGTCACTCTCTCTCTCTGCTTTCTCTCTCTAAATTTGGCAAGAAGAAGAAGAAAAAAGAAAAGAAAAAAACAAAAAACCCCATAACGACATCGTTTTGGAGGCTACAGGGTTGTCCAGCAGGAAAAGGGCTCTAAATTTGGCAAGAAGAAGAAGAAAAAAGAAAAGAAAAAAAACAAAAAACCCCAGAACGACGTCGTTTTGGGGCTACAGGTTGTCTTGCAGGAAAAGGACACCGAGGATCCGGATTCCTATAAAAATTTCTGAAGTCGTCACTCCCCATAAATGTGGATTTTTTTACTAATTATTCTTATTTCAAATATCATCTTGTGATCACAACCATTAGATAGTAATGGGGCTCATGTAGGAATCATTACATTTCTGATTGAAGGGTTTTGCTTATCTTAGTTTGTCATCTCATTTTGAGAGAGCGTTTGAATTTGGTAGGTACATTTTGGGATTGATTACTAATCAAAACCATTCATTTTTTAGGATTCGTTGGATATAATATTTATACAATAAAATCAAAATAATTGGACATTGATAACTATATGTTTGAATAATATTTGATTTTAAAAAAGGATGACTAATATAATTTGAAAAATAATCATTCATTTTTTATAATACAAATATGATTTAAACATATAATTACCGACACTCGATTATTTTTATTTTCTGCATGAATATTTTACTCAACAAATCTTAGAAATGAACAGTTTGGATTACCGAAATTGGTCCCAAAATGGACCTACCAAGCAGTGATGGACACATAAATTGTGCAAAGAGAGGGCTAAAGCAAAATTATTTAAATTTTAGAATAATTGAAGTAAGATTATATAGGTTTTTAAAACCAAAATATTAATTTATTTTACAAAAACTAAAAATGACATGAAAATAATGATATTTTTCGAAGCTTGGGGGTTGTTACCCAGAAAGAAACTCAAGAGGGGGTTGAATTGGGTTTCTATGTAAATTGCTAAATTAAAAAATTAATCCAAATAATAAACAATTAACAATATGAAACAGCAAAGATGAGTAATAAATTAAAATTTAATCCAAATGAAAAATAAATATGAAGCAATATAAATGAGGCTAATAAAAATAAATTAAGCAAAGAAGGAAAGAGAGAGCAAACATAGAATTTATAGTGGTTCGGCTCAAATCAAGCCTACATCCACTCCTCAAAATCCTCCTTGAGATTTATTCATTATTTGTCAAATAGAAATTACACTCCTAACTTTATAAATGCTAGTGAACCTTAGTGATTGATCAATTCCGATCACTCCAACCAACTAGTTATGAATCATGTACTAGTCACACCTAACTCAAGTGATTTTAACTAAAAAATCACTCACAAAAATATAACTCTCTTTTACAAGAAAAATTATAAGGGATTGGAAACCCTTTTTACAATAAAAACTCAAATACTCAACAAATTTCAGTCAAAAAAATTATATAGTTCAATGAAAATGCACAACACAATGTTTTAAGAATTCTTGAATATCACCCACAATTTTTTACCACTTCTATGTCTTTTATTTTCTCCACAATGCTTCTTTTATAGCCATAGAAAAAATTAGCCGTTGCAAAGAGATTCTAGGTAGGTTCCTCTTTCCTCCTATTTTTCTTCCATTTGAATTCATTAGCCTTTTGGACTTGCGCCATTCTTGCCAAGAAACACTTCAAATCAATCAAAGGAAGAAAATGAATAAGAAAGATATGGAAATAATTTGAATTGTTATTTTTATATTAAATTAAAGTATTCAAAAGAGGTACAATAAATTTAGTTATTTTTAAATCGGTGCAATCTATATCAAAATGACAAATTTTATTTTCATATTTTATGTCAAATGATTGTAAAAAATGTATATTAAAAAATCACAATTTATCTCATAATATTTTAGACATCATCAAAATCAAACCATAGGATTAACAATCTTCCATTTTTTGATAATGACAATACATGTATGGTTTTGACACAAAATTATAATTAAAGAGCAGTTTCATTTATGAATTTTAGTAACAAAAATATTTGACAATTGAAGTATAAGCGCAATTCAAGTTCACATTTCTTCTCCCTCTTTGACATCATCAAAATAAATGGTTAATGTGGGTGAGGAGTAAGAAAAAAATATTTAGAATAATGTGAAAATATAATTTTTTGAAACAACTCCCCCTTAGTTCATGAATATTTTAAAAAACTCTCCCTCAAATCATGGATATATTAAAAATACAAAATTAAAATAATTCACAATAAAAATGTTAGAGTCTATTTTTACATTAAAATCATCACTACTCCATATCAAACTTAATAATCCAAAATTTATAAATATGACTTAGAATCCAAAATCTAAGAAATTGGATTAGACATTCTAAATTCTTTTCCGATAAAACAAAATTAATTTTCGTTTAGGGACTTTGTAAAAATGTCCGCCAATTGCTTGTCTGTATTTATAAATTCAACCTCAATATCTCCTTTTTGAACATGATCTCGTATAAAATAATGTCTAATCTCAATGTGTTTAGTTCAAGAGTGTTGAATTGGATTGTCAAATTTATTGCACTTGTGTTATCACATTTAATAGGAATATAATCATAATGCAAATTAAAATCTTCCAATTGTTGTTCCGTCTATAATATTTGAACATAACAACTTTCAACTACTATATATTCAGCTTCAGCAATGGAATACTAATTTATTTCATAATTACTAAAAATTGCATGAAAATAATGAAAAAAATCAAAATTTATGATACCAAAAGTAACTTTATTTAGATTTTGGAGGGGTTAGAGTAAAATTATATATATTTTGGAGGGGCCAAAATGTAAACTTCATTTATAAATATTCAAAATTATATGGTAAAAGTATAATTTTTCAAAAGTTTGGGGGGAGGCGGTGGCCCCTGCTCACCACTCTTGTGTCCGCCACTACTACAAAGTCCAAATACTCTCTTAAATTGAGATGATCAACGTAAAAGAAGCTAAATCCTGTGATCAAATGAGATAGTCATTATACAATTACTAATTAAACACCAAGAGTTGTGGATAAGTGTCCGAAGTCGTCCACCATTGCTAGAGGCGGCCTTGAAATTTAGTCACTCAATGACAATCGGCATGAAAGCTCCATGCTTGAGAAGTTTAGCAGTACGTAATCATGAATTTCATAAAAGAAAATGATATCAAAATTTACTGTTTAAATTCATTTTCTAAATTTAGTAATGTGTAAAATAGATGATTGGTTAGTAATTATAAAGGATATGAGAGAAACAATTGTCTTAACTATTCTAATAAATTGCTATATCATTAAATTTGAAAAATAATTCTAATTTTGAAGTTAGAATAGTACTACTCTTTAATAAATCTATCTTGCACAATAATCTTATTTTATGTGACACCATACTATTTGAGTACGAGTGACACATACACATTATTTTGTCAACCAAAATATTATGGCTTGGAATATGGGAGAATTATATGTTGGGGAAAAAAATTACCAATACATGACGGAGTGTAAGTAACACTTGCACTCTCATAATTTTTCATTTGTACTTCACCACAGACACACTTGCACCCTTATATATTTGTAATTTTTTTTCCTAATTCTTGAAAGATTAACTCCCGATGGCAATTGATCGGAATACCCATGAGGGTGTTTATCACGCAAGAATATCGATTATCCGAAAGTTAGAAAGTATAAAATTTTCTGTTTTTCTTTTCAATGATTTCCAACCTTGCTGTTATACTCCTTGAATTTGTTTCATACAGCAACAGTCACCATGGTTCACCAAAAGATGTGTCTATAGATGTTTGAATTCAAACCATTAACTAACAGATGGTTTCAATATTCTTGCGGGGAAGATTTCTTTACAATTCAAGAGAGGAATGATCGAATGAAGTGAGTCACACCAAATTATGGTGTGGTCACTCCTTATTCTATCATCTCCCACTTGAACTCACCATAATAAGATGATAAACCTACGTTGAGCATTTTTAACCTTGGTACCAAAATTTGCCTTAAAATTTGCTGTTTAAAACACAAGCACAGCATTTTAATATTATTTTACTTTAATTTTAATTTGCTAAGGCAAATGAAGCCCAAACTATGAGTCTTCTTCTCCACAATTTTTTTAAATATTTCACAACCAAAAAATTTTATTCAGTCTTCTCAAGTCTAATAAAAACATATTTCAAAAACATAATTAACATATAGATTTTATTACATTGCCTATTATTATTATTTCGTACTTTTCGTTTTTATTTTTTTTTTCCCCTCTCATAAGACTCATAGTGTTAATTATATCAGAGTGCTAATTTATGATACTCATGTATTCTTAAGAATTATCATTATCATTATATTATATTATATTATTTTATTTTATTTTGTTTTTGTTTTTATTTTTGTTTTTATTTTTTATTTTTCTCAAATCTTGATCTATGTTTCATACCAAAAAAAGGGAGGGGGGGTTTATACTGCTTAACCATGTTTGTTTTTAGTTGTTTATTCTTTCTATTATTTTATTTTATTTATTTAGCCATGTAGTATACTACTTTAGCCTTGTTTATTTAGTTTGTTCATCTTAAAATAAAAATAAAATAAAATAAAAAAATTGCGTAGGAAGAAGATGAGAGCCGCACGTGCGGCCCCCTCCGGCGCACACGCGATCAAAGCCAAAGAAAAAAAAAACTCAATAATAATGGTACTAATAATAATCATAATTTAGTTTTTTTTTTTAATTTGCTATATTTGTTTAGTTTAACTTGTTTCGTTAGTGATTCTGGTTAGTTTAATTACTTAGTGGATTATTTTTATTTTTATTGTTTAAAATATATATGCTGCAACTTGCAACGGTAAAAATAAAAATAAATAAATTAAATAGTTATTTTATTGCATAAACTGATGCACTGCACTGCGCTACCCCATGCCAACAGAAAATAATAATAATAATAATAATAATAATAATAATAATAATAATTTAAATGTCTGCAGCTGCAAACTAAAAA